GTCACTCCTTTAAGTCTAATAATCCAGAGCTTCTGGAGTCTCAAAACACCCCAGAAATATGTTGCTATGGCTCTCAATGCCCTTTCTATACTGCCACTGACATATACCTTTGTCACTCACAAAGCCCCTAGATTTTCAATTGCTAACACTTTTGGCTCCTTGCCTAGAGACTCTTGTGCTGCAGCCTGCTCTGTCCTTGTTTGGGAAAGCCTGCTCTGTCTTCCTTCTCTACCTTGTCTTATTTCAAGATACTGTTTGAGATCATGCCCCAAGTAAACTACTTGTACAAGCACATGTTTTAAACCTAGCATCTATAGATTAATATCATGGAATCTATGAATTCTCTAAAATTAGATCTAATGTTTTAATATCTATAGGCTTCCATCATACAGATTCATTGAATTCACTCAAAGATCCACAATCTTTCGAAAGGTTAAAAACCATTTAAAAATAAAGCTTCTGTATTCTGGGAAATTACAATAGGATAAGGTCCTCCTGGACTCCCTGGAGACTTGACATCCTATCAGATCCAGCAGGGTGACATATGTTGGGGGCATTGACTTCTGATACTACTGCACTACCTCCCAACACCATAGCACAAATAGTAATGGGGCTTAGACCCCTCTCGCTTAAATACCTAGCTGGCATGTAGGTTCTTTCAGTCTTTTAGCTGTACATTCTAAAAGATTGGTTTTAAACTCTTTATGTTGTATTTCTTATTGTCCTTTTTTGTGCAGATTCAGAGATCTTAGGAGATGCTGTGCTCTTCAAATGCACACTCTGAGAAAAATGTCTTCTTATGTGCTCTCTTTTTCTCCACCAGAGCATAGGTAAATGTCTGTCTGTCTAGTTCCTGTCCCAATCAAACATAGATATAGAAGAGAGATCCCGGGGGAATGACTGAGCAAAGACACTTGGTTGCTCATCTGCAACCCAAACAGTCACAAGCTACCAAAAAATTATTGCCTACTTACGACAAATTAGAATTGGGACAATGTGAGATGGATGCTCCTCGTTCGTGGAATACATTAAGTTCTTCTGCAGAAAGGTAGCAACCATGTGCCATCACCGTCTGGAGAAAAGAATGTCTTACATGGAGTTTAACATGCACAAATGCTTAATTTAGAACCTACTCACCACAAGATATTACATTTTTTGAGTCAAGTTCTCATTCCGTTGCCCAGGCTGGAGTGCAGTGGCATGATCACTGCCCACTGCAGCCTCAACCTCCTGGACTCAGGTGATCCTCTTGCCTCAGCCTATCCAGTACCTGGGACTACAGGCATGCACAACTATGCCTAGCTAATTTTTTTATTTTATTTTTTGTGGAGATGAGGTCTCACTATGTTGCCTAGGCTGCTCTCAAACTTCTGGACTCAAGCAATCCTCCAACCTGGACCTCCCAAAGTGCTAGGCTTACAGGTGTGAGCTACCACGCCAAGGCTAAATGTTTAATCTTGGTAATATTTATGGGTTTTCTTGAACAAGACTTTACTCTTTCAAAACTCTTTTCCTCTCAGTACAAAATCTGTATCTAACTAGCTTTTTCTTTTGGGAGACATGGCTCGGTGGCCACAAAATTATTATGAAAATATAACTTTCTCAATCTCTGGATAAATAAAATTAACATGCAAATGGAAGGTTAATTTATTAATCCTATGGAAATACATGTAAAGGAAAATGAAAATGACAATGTAGCATTTACATGATTTATGCAGAGTATTAACCTTTCAAATCAGTTATAGTCATATCTCTATTCACTTACTCACTAAGAAGTCATTTACATTTCGTTGAAGGCCAAAGCCAAGAGGTACATTATTGTAATGAGGTCTCTCTTCACTCATATTAATTTTAATTTAAAAAATGCATACTCATTCTTATAAAAGCAATTTCAGAGTATTTAAAAATAAAAAGTAGAACGTCCTTCTGCTTCCTCCCACTGAAGAGTCATTTTTAATATTCAATGTGTCTCCCAGATCATTTTTTCTAAGTAAGCACGCAGCTATACGTATATACATATACACCAAACAATATTGCACAAACATTCTTCCTTGTAAGCCTGTGTATTTCTTTCTCTGTGAATGCTGGATAAAATTCTAATTATGCATGCTCTGTAATTTAGCCAATCTCCCACTGATAGCCATTTTTAAACTTTCATATGTAATTGAATCCCTATTCATGTTACTTGCAGAATGAATTCTTAGAAATGCATCTGCTGATTCAATGAAATGCACATTTACATTCTAATGGGTACTGTCAAAATGTCCTTGGATCAAATGACATTCCCACCCTCAATGAAGCCTTTAGATTTATTAACTAGGATGAAACTTCAGGCCCATTTTTAACTATACATACACACACATGCACAGTCCAGGCTTTACTCTAGTTTAAGATATGTGTGCATGTCACAGAAGTCAGAAGATTGCTACTGAGATTTTAAGATTTAGATAAATATGCTCAATTTTACATAGATTATGTCATGATATAAAATTACCTTATTTGTCAGAAGATTGTTTTTATCATATATATCTGTGTAGTTTTTATAGCTGGGGTATAAGTTTTTCACGGCATCAATTTCATCACGATTTTCACTTATGTGGCTCTACAAGAAAAGAAATAATATTCTCAATTTTTTTCTGTAAAATATCACTAGAAATTATACTTCCTATGTCAAAATGGTGTGGGTAGTTATTATTTGCCTATGTAAGGGACCATATGAAAAAACAATGAAGATCGTACATGTGTTTTATTCAAAACAATTATATACAACATATATATAATACATAAGATAATAACACAGAATATCATTAACATGTAGCATTTGTATAACCTCAAAAATAATTTTTTCCGCCGGGCTCGGTGGCTCAGCCTGTAACCCCGCACCTTTGGGAGGCTGAGGTGAGTGGATTGCCTGAGCCCGCGGGTTCGAGACCCACCTGGGCAACTTGGCAAGACCTCATCTCTACAATAAATCAAAAAAAATTAGCCAGGCGTGGTAGCGCTCCCCTGTAGTTCCAGCTGCTTGGAAGGCTGAGGCGGAAGGATAGCCGGGGCCCAGCAGGTCGAGGTTGCAGTGTCTGGGAGCAGCCACTGCACTCCAGTCTGGGCAACAGAGTGAGACTCCAACTCAAAAAAAAAATAAAAATAATAATTTTTTCCAACAAAGTCTTTCCAAATTTCAAACTATAGCAAGAATAAATATAAAGTCCTCCTTGAAGAGAGTCAAGAGCCTAGCTATTTGTGGCAACCTATTTCTTCTGGTACTGGCCATTTAAGAAAAGAGTTCAGTTTCCATCAAAAAAACAGACAGCATGGATTACTCATAAGAAAACCAAAATTTGGGTAAAGAGAGCTGAGTTTTAGTCCAAGTTCTAACACTAGTTATGTGTTTTAGGGCAAGTCAGTTGTTGTGGACCTCCATTTTATCTCTCAAATAAAAGGGTTGGGCTAGATGAGTGATTTTTCAAATGTTTTTTAGCTTTGAAAATGCTCTTCGGCCAGGCTCGGTGGCTCAGCCTGTAATACCGCGCCTTTGGGAGGCTGAGGTGAGTGGATTGCCTGAGCCCACGGGTTCAAGACCTGCCTAGGCAGCGAGACCTCATCTCTACAATAAATCAAAAAATCAGCGGGGTGTGGTAGCGCATGCCTGTAATTCCAGCCACTTGGAAGGCTGAGGCAGAAGGATCGCTGAGCCCAGCAGGCAGAGGCTGCGGTGGCCAGGAGCGGACACTGCACTCCAGTCTGGGCGACAGAGACTCTAACTCAAAAAAAAAAAAAAAAAAAGAAAAGAAAATGCTCTTCATATGAAAATTCACAGAAATATAATATAAAGAAGGCACAAACAAGCTGTCCTTCAAGATGTAGCATGACCGGCACTCTTGGACCCTGTCCCCATTTTGTTCCCTTTGTTGAATTCCAGAATGAGTTCTTCTACAGAAGACAGTTTGAAAATAACTGAGTTAGACAATCCTACAGTCATCAAGAAAGAACCTATAAGAACACACATGCAGGCAAAACAGATGAGTCCTAGGCCCCCACATCAATCTTTCTCGAGGGCACCACCACACCCAAGAGGACATAATACTTCCAAGAATGGCAATGCCACTTCTCTCTCTCCAGTGAGATAGGAGTATGGCAAGTTTTCTAGGAAAAACAACAAGGTTAACTTTTTGAGACAGGTGATAGACATTTTCTCTAGACAAGTGGCTGACCTGGTTTTCTGAGCCCCTACAGAGAAAAACAGAATGCAGTTGAGACCTGGTTAGAGCCAACTACAACCAAGATGGCAGCCAACCACCTGATTTTGTCCCTCATTATACACTCATTGTAACACATCAGCATGCTAAATGACACATCCTACAGTGCTATGACAGTTCCAGCTCAGCCTATTTATAGGAACAAACTGGGAGGAACCCCAGTTCTTTAAAATCTCCCTGGCTTTCCCAGAAAACCTATGAATATTCCTCCCTTTACTTAGCATATAATCATGAGCTAGCTATAAAAATAAAATCCCAGAGATGTGCAGTTGCTGTTCTTCCTTCAGGCCAGCCCAGACTGTCCTGCCTATGGAGTAGCTTGTTCTCTGTCATTTCAATAAAATTACTTTCATTTTCCAACTGAAACCCCAGCAATGCACAGGGGCTGCTCAGCCTATAGAGTAGCCTTCTTTCTGTTTCTCTTTAGTTTTCATAAACTTGCTTTCGCTTTACTTTGTCAGCTTGCTTTTTAATTATTTCCTGCAGGAAGCCAAAGAACCTACTTGGTCTCTCAGGCTGGACCCCAACTTTGAGGTTCCCTGTCTTGTGTCACCACAAACTAGAATATGGAAAGCCCAATTAAAAGAAAGAAGGCAGCAGAGAACAGATGCTCTTGCTATTGTCCTGTCCCTTATGCCCCTTACAACATATATTTCCTTTAATAAATCTACCTTTCCTATTTAAAATAAATAAAAGAAAAGAAAGAAAGAAGGCTGAGTGCAGTAGCTCACACCTGTAATCCCAGCACTTTGGGAGGATGAGGCAGGAGGATTACTTGAGCCCAGGAGTTTAAGACTAGCCTAGGCAACATAGTGAGACGTCATCGCTACAAAAAAATTTAAAAGTTAGCTGGGCATGTTGGCATATGCCTGTAGTCCCAGCTACTCAGGAGAATGAGGCAGAAGGATTGCTTGAGCCCAGGAGGTTGAAGCTGCGGTGAGCCGTGATCGTGCCAGCACTCCAGCCTGGCACGAGAGTGAGACCCCTCTCACTCTCTAGCCTGGGCAAGAGAGTGAGACCCCAGGTCAAAAAAATTAAAAATAAAAATGAAGTAAAAAGAGCAATGCTCTGAAAACAGATGCTTCACTTAGGCGATGAACTCTATCCTTGGCCTTGAAAAAAAGTCACAGACCATCAATGAAATGCATGGACACAGGGACAGAAGAAAAGACAACCAGTTGATTCATGTCATTTTGATAAATGTTGGTAAATTCACGTGCATCCATATATATCCTTCAGCAAGAATAGATTTGATTTTGTTGTGTGTCCTTTTCATTTTATTTTTCATGTATTTTTAAGTATTTATTTATATTTTATTTTTCAGCAACAGAAGCATTTTGTTTCTAAAGTAGAAACATCATCTAAGTTTATCTCTGGAAAAGAAATGTGTGGGATTGAATAAGAAATTCACATGATCATGAACCACACCCTCCAAATGGAGAAGAAAAAGTAGTTAATAGGTCCTAAGAAGATAGATCTTAAAAAGAAAAAAAAGCCTCCAAACTGGTAAAAAAAATCTATGTGTTGTCTTTGCCCCAACTTGCCTTTTTTATAAAATAGTCAGCTTCTAAGAGGAGAAATCATAGTACAGTATATAATTAAGCTTAGATGGGGGAAGGGGAGCTCCCAATTTTAACCCAGCTGTAAGCTTTAAAAAGTGTTTTATCCCTAAATTGCAACAACTTAATGACAAAGTAAGGTATGCTTTTTTGTTCCTGATTTTAAATTAGGGAACACAGAACAAAAGGGGCTTTTTAATGCATTTCTGTAAGGTAGAAATTAGGTTCTTTTTACTTTTCAAATAATAGCTAGTTCGTCCAACAATGAAAGTATAGAACACTGATAAAGTATCAAATAAAATAAAAGTAGGAAAAAGGTATTAAGTGTATTCTACAGAGATTAGGTAGACAGTATGTTTTTGACCTTGCTATAACTTAAGATGTTCTCGTCTCTTGAAGACCGATCAGAGAACACTGAGAGTAAAAGGAACTTCAGAGTTCTTACCTGCAAAATTAAAGAATTGTATTAGGTGACATCTGTAGGGCCCTTCTTCCCCTGTCATGCTATGACTCTTGGAAATCTCAGTTGAAGAATTAAAGATTACTCAGTAGAAGAACTAGAGATTATTGAAGATTACAATTTAGGATATTGAGAAATCTTGCAGATCTGGACAGGGGCTTAAAAAGAAGAAAAATACCCACCTGAATGTGCAAATCACGGGTCTTAGCAATGTTGCCGAGTTCACCCATCAAAGTCTCCGTGCAAGAAAGGGAAAAACGTGGTGTCACTACAGGCTTCACTCTAGAATACTGCAGATAATAAAAAAAAGTTGACAGATATGAATGTAAAGTGTATGCCAAAATGCATAACATATAGCCAGATGATTTTATGTCTTTATTTTGGGGAGCAATCTCCCATTCTAAGAGTCCTTGGAAATGGTGGATTTCATGGAAACAGCCTATGACTGAGAATAAAGGAGAGTACGTTCTTCAATGTCAAGTTCAACCAAAGATTCTATCTCAAGTAATAGACACCCTCCTCCCCCAACATTGAGGCTCAGGTGAAGGGCAGACTGGGTCGCCTTTATGAGGAGAATTGGAAGCTGAAGGAGAAGATTTAAAAGAGAATCCTGGGGAGACTAAAAGCGAGGTGGTAGCCTGTTCCACTTGTGGAAGTGTGCTGGCAATGACCTTCCTGAGAACTATCCAGTTGCAGGATCAGCTCTGGTGCCACCTGAGGCGAGTGGCCAGGCAGGAAAGGACTTATAGAGGAATGGTAAGGATAAGGATCATAGATCTCCACATAGATCTCCCAAGGTTAGACTGAAAGAAATTCTGAGGTTTCCTGTAGTGTCCAGTCAGACCTCAAAAGATGGTAAGGAAAGGGTCAAGCTTGTCAATCTAAGAGATTGCCCAGTGGAGTCATAAACCAGCCTACTGGGGGAGGCAGCAGGAAATAGCATTGTCTCCATAGGCTCACCAATGCCAGGGCACTGCAGAGGTCTACTGTGTGAACCAAGGAGCCAGTAGCTAGGGCAGCAGGGTTGAACAGTACCTATGTTTCATACCAGACCAGGGGCACAAGTCGCCAGAACCAACGTTGAGGTAGCCACCAAACTGTCCCACAGCTTCCAGGTTCCACCAATCTGCCCATACCCATGAAGCCCTCACCCCCTCCCCAGAGATCAGGCCTGTGAAATTAGAAGGTTCTAGAGCAGACAGAGAAAAACCACTGAGAAAGGGAGAGTCATTTTGAGATGGTGACTCTAAACTGGGTAGTGACTGAACTGCCATACCTTGGATCGACGAAAAGCTTAGTGAACGAGAGAACAAGTTTATCTACTAAAATTTAGTTTTTCTGTTGCTTGTAGGTAACGGGTTTTGGAGCCAAGAAAATTGTACACAATTAAAAGAATAAAGGGAATTTCATGTTTGGATATATCTGAGAAGTGATTCACCAAACCACTTAAAATCAGTTAATATTTCCTGATTTTATAAAAAAATTTTCCTGATTTCAAAATGTGTTTCAAACAAAACACAGAGGGCTAGATATAGAGCTGTACCAGACCTCTCTGAAATGCAAAAAATGTCTGTCCTCTGTTTCTATGAGTTTGATTTTTTTTTTAGATTTCACAAATAAGTGAGATCATGTAGTATTTGTCTCTCTGTGTCTGGCTTATTTCACTTAGCAGAATGTCCTCTAGGTTCACCCATATTGTCGCAAATGGCAAGATTTCCTTTTTTATGGTTGAATAATATTCCAGTGTGTGTGGGTGTGTGTATGTATGTGTATATATACTGTATTTTCTTTTTCATCTGACTATAGACATTTGGGTTGTCTCCATGTCTTGGTTCTTGTGAATAACACTGCAATGAACATGGGGGTGCCCATATATGTTCAAGATACTAATTTTATTTCTTTTGGATATATACCTGGAAGTGAGATTTCTGGATCTCATAGAGATGATGATCAAAGGGTAAAAAATTTTCTGCTATAAGTTGAACAAGTTCTGAAGATCTAAGGTACAGGATGGGCAGTAATGGATGTGTTAATAATTTGATTTTGATAATTATTAAAGAATGAGTACATGTATGTCATATCACCTTGTAAACCTTGAATATACACAATCTTTATTTGTCAGTTAAGTCATTTAAAATTTTTAAATGCTCGACTTCACAGAGTTAAATTGAAGGGTCCACTGTGGAAACAATTTAAGTTTCTAGGAAAATACTTCTTCACACATGGAATAAGCCAATTGTACATGGACTAATCCCTGTCAAACAACTTAATAATGAATTCTACAACTAATGTAAAGGCAATGCAGATACAAGTTCTGAACAAATTTACTTACATTCCTCTGAATCATTTCTGTCACAAACCTGAAATAAAACAACAAACGGGAAGTTAGAAACTTAAGCATTTTCAACTAAATGTTTTAAAAAGGTAAAAACACAATCCTTATGTGTCTTAATGTCCATGTGAATATTTCTAATGCTGCACATGTTTCACCAGCACTAATTAAAAATTAGCAAGCAGTAATTATTCTGCTTTCTCATTTGCAGCCAGAGATGGAGCACAAAATCACAGGGAAATGGAATGTTAGCATCTAGCATCAGTTGGGCTGTTCTCGAGTATTCCCATGGCACTCAAGCTGTTCTACTAGCTCAAGCTCTGTCTAGGGAAATACTGCAGTATGTTATGTTCCACGGATATTAGAGTCATGGAGTCCTATGCACCCAGAGGCATTTAGGAGACACAGGGATCTCTACTTCTAATTCTCAGTGGAAGCTACTCGTTCACACAACGTCATCATGTATGTCCAAGGGCAGAGTCCTCCTGGGGATGGATGTCGGAGTAAGGCAGAAGGACTAGGCCAGAGGTTGTAGTTGTGCAGTGCATAGTGCGTGGGACGGATGATGATTCTAGGTTGTGCCTGTAGGGATGGGGCACCTGTGAATTCTATGAAATGGCTACTTCTGCCCTGGTTGGGCAGCTATAGTTTCCTGCCTTCTAGTATTCCTTTGTTTAAAAATAAAATGTGAATGAAGGTTTACAGCAGTTATAAATAGGTTAATAGATGAGCTGAGCATATGGCCAGTGCTAAGGGAAGGCGAGTGCTTCCTCCTCTTGGTGAGGACACTCTTTTTTTTTGAGATGGAGTCTCACTCCATCACCCAGGCTAGAGTGCAGTGGCACGCTCATGGCCACCCCAGGATTGACCTGCTGGGCTCCACTGATCCTTCTGCCTCAGCCTTTCAAGTAGCCGGAACTACAGGCACACACTACCATGCCCAGCTAATGTTTTATTTATTGTAGAGACGAGGGCTGGCCAACTTGCCCGGGCTGGTCTTGAACCCACGGGCTCAGGCAATCCACTCACCTCGACCTCCCAAAGTGCTGGGATTACAGGCTGAGCCACCAAGCCTGGCCACTTTTTTTCATTTTTGAAAATTTTCATGACTTTCTTCACAAATTAATTTCTCACAATATTCATTCATAAGTTTTAGCAGTAAAATTTTATTTTTATTATTATTATTATTATTATTGCTTTTTTCTTTTTATTTCAATAGCTTTAGGGGGCACAGACAGTTTTTTGTTACACAGACGCTTTGTATAGTGGCAAAGAAGTCTGGTCTTTAAGTGTACCCACCACCCCTACCTGTGAACATTGAACCCGATAGGTGATATTTTATCCCTGCAGAGGACATTTTAAAAAATTTTTATTATAAAGATGTGGGGTACATTTCAGTGTTAGGTATGTAAACATTGATCATGCAGGTACTCTTGTTGATGAGGTATGTCCCTCCCTCCCCTAGCAGTTTCCCTCAACTGCCAATCCCACCCCACCCCAACAGTTTCCCACTACTGCCAATCGCTTTCTTATAGCATTATAATTGTTCAAGGTCCATTTATGAGTGAGAACATATGGAACTCTGTTCTTGTTTCTGTGATAAATCACTGAGTACGATCGACTCTAAATCTATCCAAGTTGCTGCAAAGTCCATAAGAGGACATATTTAAGGGAAGGAAAGCCTGGGGAATAGAAGGAAGTTGGACTTCTAAATCTTGCATCAGGATAAGTTTGGTTTGGGGAAATATTTATAGCCAAATAATTTCCTTCTATATTTTTCGAATACTGAATAGACTACACTAAAATTGCTTGTCAAATCCTCGAGGTATTATGGAAAAGTCATTTAAAAACGTAACAAAAGTACTTATATGGTCAGTAGAATATCCCAATGTTATACAAAAAAGAACACAGTGAAAACTCATGATCTCAATAAATAATATGACTCACAACAAAAAGTAATTTAATGAGCAGGCCACATGTCCTTAAAACCATATCCTATCTATAGGAAAAGCCCTGCTCAATAATAAAGGGCAGGTGGAGGGCAAGTCATTTACTTTTAAAAGAATCCTTCATTTTACAAAGAGATTTACCCTAGGATTCCTATGGCAAGCTTCTGAAGGCTTTAAAATATAATTTGATACACAAAAATAGCCCTGACTTGCAAATTTTTAAGGAACAGACTAATTTCACCAATTTGGGTAAATCCACACAGTGACCTTGGCAAATGGGAAGAATGGTTTAGTACATTAATTTAATCTCTCATTTAATTTGACATCACAGGTTGATTCCAGAGTATGTTAATACATCTTGAGGTTTTCAGGCCTTTTTTAAATTTTTATTTCAACCATGTGGTATTAGGAGAAAATGGTGAGGGGAAGAATGCTAGAAGCATTGAGAGGAGTGCTATTGGACTAAAGGAGAAAATCATAGAGAGCTAGAGTCTCCAAAAATACACTCCACAGCAATTTATACCTTATACAATCTTCATGTTAGAAAACAAAAATAAACAAGCAAACAAAATAACATTCCCTTGCAAGTTTAAAAGTAACTTTTTAAAAATATATATTTACTTTTTTAAAAATTGAATCACTTTCTACTCAACGCTTATCTAAAGTGGATGTGAACTAAAAAATACAAATTATGCATGAACACACACCCCATCCACATACCCCTATTTTAAAACACAGTTTTATTGAAGTATAATTTGCATAACCATAGAATTTACCTGTAAAGTGCACAATTCAGTGATTTTTAGTAAATGTGTTGAGTTGTGCAACCTTCATCATAATCCAATTTTGAGCATTCTCATCACTCTGATTAGATCCCTTGGACTCATTTACAGTTAGCAGTCATTCCTAATCCCAGCCCCAGGAAATCTCTAATCTTGGCTTTCTGTCTCTATGGATTTATATTTTCTATACATTTTATACAAATGGAATTATACACTATGCGACCTTTGTGTTTGGTTTCTTTCTCCTAGCACATTGTTTTAAAGTTCAACCATGTTGTAATAGGCATCAGTACTTAATTTCTTTTTATGTCTGAATAATATTCGATTCACCAGCTGATGGACATTTAGGTGGTTTCCACTATTTGTTGCCGAACAAGTCCCCACATGGCCTTGTCAACCCAGCTCTTCCTTTTTTTCTTGCTTGTAGTTCTCAGAATAACTGTAGAATATGCTAAAAATGCAACTCCTTGAGATAGGAAGAACTAGCTAGAAAATCCTGTGCTCTGTTCCCTTTCTTCCCAGAACAAGATGTCCTGCAATGCTTTAGCCCAGTGAGTCAACTTTCATCCGAGTATAAAATCACAGGCAGAACATGTTTTCAGAGTCCCTCAGCTGCGGTGTGACATGAGGAACACACAGATGAGATTCTATTCACCCAGAGAAACTTCCTTGAACTTTGAGGGGACAGTTCACCATATATCCTAAGATTCTATTGTTCCTTGACGCTTATCTGTGAGTAATAAACTTGCTTTGCTTAACTTGTGTGAGTGTTCTGTCTCACTGGACTCATGCAAGTGGATTGACACTGATGTTGTGTACTGTGAGGTGTTCAGTCTCCTCTGGGACAGTGAATCACAGTGTCCCCTGGGACAGTGAATCTGCTTCACACTTGGCTTCTATAAATACTGTGAACATTTGCGTGCAAGTCTTTATGTGGACATATGTTTTCATTTCCCTTGCACACCTCCACTTTTTATGATTCTGTCTGTATATGGCACTCTATTCTTTGAGATGAAGATCTTCCAAGGTAGGCTGTCCACAACCTCTGGTGAACCCAGTTCAGTGTCCAGCAGCAGCAGAGTGGACCTGAGTTCCTCCAATTGTCTCTTTCAAGCTTGTGTGTCACCACAAAATGTCCTCAGAGCCTTACTGGAAGAAGAACAGCAAGGCACTACTCCCTGTGAGCAGACAGATACAGAACCAAGGCAGGAAAAGGAACCACAGCCTTCCCTCCTGTATTTCTACCCTTCACTGCGGAAAGACATTCTTTCGGGTCACATTTTTGGAGAGAGGATAACCTAGCTTCTTATATTAGCATGTTATGGCCATTCCAGCATATACTCAGAACTTTTCCCTTCCCACAGTGGGACAAAATAGTAGTGAGGATTACATATACCACCTAGAAAAAAAAAACACTAAAAATATAGAGTACAATTTCAACTCTGGTAACTTTAGGTGGTTTAATTATGAAACACATTTTTTTCTTCTTTGTACCTTTTTGTGCTTCTCCAACTTTTTTTTTTAACCATGGGAACACTTATTACTTTGATTTTGTTGTGTAATTCCTTTTTAGTGAAAGGTCTCTCATCACCTATAAGATGTAATTCATTTGCCTTACCTTGTTAGAAAATACCCAAGCATTCTTATTTCCTAATGAGTTCCATGAATGACTCTTCACTTCCATTATCTTTTAGAAATGAGCATACACCATAGCAGACACTCTTGCACACCCTCTGTTTCTCTCTTTCTCTTTACTTACATTGAATATGAGATGGGGGAGTCAATATCACAGTGGTAGGAAGACTGAATTTAGAGTCATAGGCCCTGGCTTTCGATTATGGCTCTGCTACTTAAAAGTTGTGTGACCGTGAGCAAATCACTTAGCCTATGCCAGACTCAGTTTCCTTATCATAAAAGTTAGATGCCTCGTGAAGATTTTGGTGAGGATCAAGTGTGGCACTGCAAAGAGAAGCTCTTTGTAAATTATTTACGATTATCCACTATTTGATGAAATTTACTGTAGACTAGCTGACACATTGCATCATACAGAACACTGAATCACTGTGTGCACAAGCCACCTGGGTCATAACAGCCTCTTGTTTCCTCTTTACACCTCTGACTCTGTCAGTGCAGCAGAGGGACTCACTCAGAAGACAAATCAAGATAAATGGGCTTTTTACCTCTCTGTTTCCTTGATTGATTCCTCAGTGGTCTCCTTGTATTCTGAAACAGTGTCATTCAGATCCATGCATACTTTGCCCACAAATGCCCGCTGTCCAAATTTATCTGTGGCCAACACACAGAAAGAATCTGAAGGCATGTTTGTTTCTCTAACAGTAGTTTTTCTAAGTCTTTAAAAAATATCTTTAAATTAAAATCATTGTGAAAAACGTAAGTAAGAATGCAAAAGCTCATCCACCATCACACCACTTAAGAATAATAACAACAAATCCCCACCAAATCAGTAGGTAGTAAAGATTCTTCTGTTTACCCCCTTAACCCACCACCTCCCCCATCCTTATCCCCAGACTGAGCAGGAACTAATTGGATGGGGTTTTTAAAAAATTGTATTATTTGTCTTTCCATTTGATTATACAGCTTGTCTATATTTTTAATAACTATCTTTGTTCTCACTTGATTACATGGCAAAGGAGAAAACAGTCTCAGATCCTAGAAAAAGTCTTAGTTCTTGACATACCTGCACTTGGTTTCTTCCTTCTCTTTTTCTCCCCACCCACAGTCTTCTTCCTGTCTCGCATTCTACCACCCCTCTTCTAGATAAAACACAACATGGCCAAGGGATAAGAATATGGGCACTAGAGTAGGACAGATTTGGATGAATGCCTTATTCGTTTGATTATTCTCTGGATGGTGAATATTATTTGGCCAAGGTATAAACCTATACTACGTGCAGGCTTATGAGGAGTACATGCAATCATGCACATAAGGCGACTGGCACATGGGAATCAATAGCACCATACGCTGCTATTTTTTTTTTTAGATTAGAAAATATAGTTAGCTGGGCTCGGTGGCTCAGTCTGTAATCCCAGCGCTTTGGGAGGCTGAGGTGAGTGGATTGCCTGAGCCAGCGGGTTCAAGACCCACCCAGGCAACTTGGCGAGACATCCCTACAATAAATCAAAAAAATCAGCCGGGCATGGTAGCACATGCCTGTAATTCCGGCTACTTGGAAGGCTGAGGCGGAAGGATCGCCGGAGCCCAGCAGGTCGAGGCTGCGGTGGCCGGGAGCGGCCACTGCACTCCAGTCTGGGTGGCAGAGTGAGACTCCAACTCAAAAAAAAAAAACAAAGGAAAAGATAGTTTATTTAGAAAGTAAATTTGAGAACGAAAGAGGAACTTCACCTTCCCAATGCAGGGGAGGGAGTCAATTAGAAAATACAGTTTATTTAGAAAGTAAATTTGAGAGAGAAAGAGGAGATTCACCTCCCCAAGTTAGGGGAGGGGTCCAAAGCTAAAGAAACATGGCCACACCATGGTTTCACAAAGCAACGGCCACAGTAACCTGGCAATGGCTCACTGCTATGCTTAATTGTAGCAAACTTAATATCATTATCTGTGGGGAGTTTTACTTAGTCCTACAAGCAGCCTTCAGCACTAAAGAATGTGGTCCTCATCAGAGGTGCTGGAAGAATTCCATTTCAGTCAGAAAGTTGAAACTACATGGGACAGGGCAATGGTCATTGTGTCTATAAAGTCTTCACCTCTGTCATGAGAGTCTTTCAAAAGTGTTCTCCCTCTCTCTTTCCCCTCTAATTCATTCTAATCCCTGGCCATTAGATTGATCTCCCTCCAAATACCACTTTCATGCCATCACTCACAACTGCTCAAAACCTTCTTTGAGTCTTTGATGTATAGCTGAGCTTTTCCACAATCTGAACCATCCCGTCTGCCCCCCCCTCCTCTCCCATCACCCTGCTCTCTACTAAATCTACTGTTTTGGTCAAAATTCTTTGCTCTCTGTGTCCACTATCAATATTTCTGTCCCCATACCTCTATCTATGTCATTTCCCCTGTTTGGAAGACATTTTATTCTCTCCCCATTTTGTCTTCCATTCAAAGCCCAGGTTAAAGTCCCCTTTCATGAAGTCTTCCCAGACATGGCCCTTGGTTATCTTTGCCTCCTCTGAAAACTGCAACATTTATTTTCAGCATCACCCATCATGCCTTTGGTATAAACTCTTGGCCAGTAGGCAGCGATGTCAGAGCATGAGCCAATGGTGCCATGTGCCAGGTACTACACTGACTGGGAATCAGCCACCCAAATTCAGAATCAGCTCTGTTTACAAGCTGTGCAGTATTGGACATGTTACGTAACCCCTCTGGGCATCAGTCTGTACATCTATAACAAGAGGACACCATGACTACCTCAGAAGATTGCTTGAAGCTGAGCTAATCCATACAGAGCGCTCTGCACCACACCAGGCATCTAGTAACAGCACCATAGATGTTACTAAACTTATTAATGTGTCTAGGCATTCCATCTGGTTTCTCAAGGACAAAGACTATTTTCTGTCTCATTGTGCTCCAAGCATCTAGCACAGTGCCCTGAGTCTAACCAACAGCCAACACATGTCTGTTGATTCTAACAGAATAAATGGTTGTCATGGCTACAATTAGTAAACTTGCCCTAAAAAACCCTAAATTAATACAAGAAATTCAGACTTGAATATGAGGGAGGACCCCAAAAATATCAGAATTCTTTTTGGAAGGCGGGTCCCTTGTAGAACAGGCTTCCCCCACTAGGTAAGTGTTCTAGCAATCCATTGGCATTAGTGTGCCAGCTAGCATTGTTGTGAGAGGCTACGTTCGATTTCAGTGATTTTTTTTTTTTTTTTTAGATTCTTTCAACATTTCATGATGGGTGATTTATAGTGCACCTGTCCACTCTGTGCTGAGTGTTCAATGGTTTTTTTTGTTTTGTTTTGTTTTGTTTTTTACCAAAAATGGTATGACCCCTATGCCTCACTCACCCTCCCTATTCACCTAATCTCACTTATTTCCTGGACAAAAAAAGTCCTCAAAGAGAAATGTTTTGCTGATGTGGAAGAGGTGGAACAAAAAAACAGCAGAAGCCCTAAAAGGTATCAAAATTGATGAGTTCAGAAACTGTTTTGAGCAGTGGAAAAAGTGTCTCAACAGGTGTACTGCATCAAACAGAGAGTACTTTGAAGGTGACTGAAGTTTAAACATACAAGAATAAACATACAATTTTAATAAATAAATTCCATTTTGGGGTCCCCCCTTGTATATATCATTCTGTAACCAAAAACCACAAGTACATAATCAAAGTGTGTAAACAATAGAAAACATTCAAAGGCTGCAATGATACATAGACACTTTTAAATTACTTGCAAAAAATTGCAGTGCTCAAATTCTAGCAATTAAAAGGCAGGACTACCCACAAGTACATAGAAGTTGTTAGGTAGGCCTGGTCTGGGTGTCTCTGCTTGATGTGCCCATAAATCATGCTTTCATCTGCTCACCTGTAATTTCAGCAAGGAGCAAAGATGAGTCAGTGTGAATTGTTCCAAAGTAACAAGCTGTGGTTGTTCCATTCTTTAGTGTTCGCCTCTAAAAATAAATCACAGAAACCATGAATCGTGTGTGCCCAGAAAAGTCACATGGCATATCCGGAGGAAAATAGAATTCTAGTTTTTTATTTTAAAATGTTTTTATTTAAAGTTATGCCATCTTGATATGGAATATAGTTAAGTAAATGGCAAAAGTATTTCTATTCCAAAAGCCTTAGCTGGAGGAGAAGTTGATACTTTTGATTTCCTAGATTCTTACAGTTCTATGTTTCAAAATCCATACAATGCGATAATAATTAATTTCTTATTTCTCAGGATTATTCAAGGCTATCCAAATTGTATTGCATCTGGGAGCACATAAATAAGATTTTTCTATCTGTCACAGAGTAAAAATATTCAGCCAGATTTCCAGTTCAACCTGGAAGATTGACCACACATATCTATTTCCTTTCCCTAGCAAATTACCACTAACATAATAGTAAAGGAGTACAAAATTTATCAACCCACAAGAGGAACATGAGAGGGGATGTGAATAGAGAAAATATTTGAACATCTTCTTGCAAGACAAAAAACATAGATGAGAACCTGGAAGCAAACTGAAAACAGAGAGAAACAGGCAAGTGTCAGTAAGGAAGTGGCTGAAAGTCTGTGAACAGGTGACTAAACCCTGGCAGGAAACCTTCCCCTCCCTGTTGAAACCAGCTAACCACCCCTAACCTGGTCCCTGGAGGAGAGATGTTCTCCATGTAGAAACAGGATAGTAATTAGAGGGTGCAAGCCAAAAAAAAAGACAAGGTGAAGAAGAAGTTTAAGTAAAAATCTGGCTGACCTTTGGGTCATCTTCCCCAGAATGCAGGGGATTAAAGAAAACGTTCCTAGAGAAAATCAATGACTCTAGAAGAAAGATGTTCTCACAGTGACATTTGGTACCTACATGCACAACCTTCACTGTTCATCTTATAATGAAGTTCACTGTCAGCAAGTGCTACCTCTACCCAGATCTTCTATTCAGCATCTTAGAGCATCACACTTAAATATGAACGTATGACCAAGGTTCAACAGACTTTGGAAGGAAGCTATTATCAAAAAGATAAGAAGGGGGAGAAAATCTGGGAAAAAGTCTTGGCAGAAACAGACAACCTACAAGGGAGAACCTCCCAAAAAGTGGAATTTATTTATAAAAAATTATGTATTTTTTCTTACATGTTTAAATCCAAGTAGCAAAAGGAAACGTAGCTCACTGTTAAATCAAGAATATATGTTAACAAATAACAAATTGGAATTAAATTGAAATAATTTTTTAAATAAATTTGAAAATTAAGACAGTTTACATTAAGTATAGATGGTAAAAAAAAAAATAAAGGGGAACTAAAATCTCATCTGCTATGGGATGTGGTACAGAGGGTAGAGATCAAGGAGGGAGACTGAAAAAGCTCTTGTCCAGTTATATGGGAGAACACAAAATAAAATAGCAGAATACTTGTTTAACACTTTTTGTTTGTTTGTTTGTTTGTTTGCATTGGAGTCTCACTCTGTTACCCAGGCCTGGAGGGCACTGGCACACTCCCAGCCACCGTAGCCTCGACCCGCTGTGCTCAGACCATCCTTCAGCCTCAGCCTTCCCAGTAGCTGGAACTACAGGCACGTGCCACCATGCCCAGCTAATTTTTTTTGATTTATTGTAGAGATGGGGTCTCGCCAAGTTGCCCAGGCTGATCTTGAACCCAAGGGCTCAGGCAGTCCACTCGCCTCAACCTCCCAAAGTGCTGGGATTATAGGCGTGAACCACAGCGCCTGGCACATTTAACACTTTCAATACCTTAACTTCTGTATCTGTAGAGATACCAAAAATGTTATGTCAACAGAGAAAACACAGTCTTTTTTAAAAATTGCAGAATAACCATAAAAATTAATCTTTTATTAGGTCATAAAATAAATATCAACTATTCTCAAGAAAAAAGACTGATGTTATGTTTACTACTAAATTAAAATAAAACTCAAAACAGACATGTGATCTAAATTTTTTCTACATTTTCAAAATTTTAAGCACCTTTCTAAAATCTTGGTTTGCAAATAAAATCAAAATGGAAAACTGAAGCTACTTAGCAAAGAAGATAATTGAAGCACTCACAGATATTAGCAGTAAGCCCCTTTCTCCTGTCAGGCCTGAACCAAGGGATACGAGGGCTATGGGGAAAGAAGTTTTAAGAGAAATTATAGTTTCAGATTGGACTGTGTTAAAGCAAACTAAATTTGGCCTGGGATGTTTTGGACTTCGAGTCTCTACATAAGGATCTACAGCCTAACTTAGTATATAAGCTAACTGAGAGCCTAACTTAGAGGCGTACATTTGCAACAAATAGCTGAGTCTCAGCCAATCACAGCAGCTGAGCTTCAGTCAATCACAGGTGGCCAACTGATTAGATCGTGTTTATATAAGGCAGATGCTGAGCCTGAGGCATAGCCAATCAAGCTGCTTCTGTAGCTCACCTCTGTTTTCTGTTCCTAAATGCTGCCTGCCCACATTGCTGGATAGAGCCCTCTGAACCTTTTCTGGTTATGAAAACTGCCTGATTCTGGAATCATTCTTTGTTCAGTTACACTCGGTTAAATTTCATTTGTCTAAAGCTTTTCTTTTAACAGTTAGAATTAGAAAGAAAAAAAAACTAGAAAGTTCAGAACTCCCCAAATTACTATAAAGAGACAAGACCGGGAGAGCCCCCTCAGGGAGAGAAGGAAGGAGGAATGAAAAGGAGGGTGGAAGGAAACCGGAAGCTACTTCTGTTTGTTCCCACTGAGCTCAGCCCATTTAGTAGGTTACATGTCTAGTTAACATATCTCAACATTCTTAAACAGATGTCAACCATATCCTTAGCTCATCTAACTGCAAAATTTTGTGGGTCTACTTGTTATCAGAAACATAGGATATATGCACTGCAAATACTTACAGGAGTAAGACCTATTTTGTGCCCTCTGACATCAAATATTTAAAGAAATTTCAGACATAAGAAATCATTTTTATGGAGTACTGCCTGATGAAATATACAGTCCTTGATACTCTAGCTATCTAAGTAGAAAAGACAGATCTATCTGGACTTTTTGACACTATAGCATCCTTACAAAGTATATTTTGACAACACAGCAACTATCCACATTAGGAATATTAGATTCATTTTCTTAAATTTCAGTATGAAGAATAAATATGCTTGACCTCAGTAAATGTATTTTTTTAATCAAATAATATACATTTCATAAATTATTCCCTTCTGTAGGTCAGGTTCTAGAAACTTAAAGTCAAATATGTGACAAATTCTAACAAATGCATGGGCTCTCCCTGCCACCATGGTAGACACTGACTTCTTGGTTTTATTTTTTCTCCTACACTTCTTTTCTTTTAGGTTTTATTTTTCCTTCCCCCTTCTACCATTTTTTCCGCGATTCATGACTCATTTTCTCTTGTTGGTATGCTATGCAATTTTAAGCTCTCACACTCTTTTTAGAATAATGTGAGGTATAAATAAATTTTGAGAATAAAGATTTGATGTGGTTAACACAATTCATGAACACAATGCACCAGCAATTTTATACACAGCTTTAGTCCTTCTCAGTTTTTCTGGTGTCATGTGGATGCATGCTATATATGTAAGACACACAATTACACTGAATTTATAATTAAGCAAGGCAAGTGTGTAAACGTTAGCACTTGCTTTTACTCTTTAAGGCTGGACTGATGCAAGACCAAATTAGCAAGAGGTTTAGGTCAGTCACTGCAGAAGATTTGTAATACTGTCACCACCACATAGCCAACCCCTAGGAGGAAAATCATCCATGGTTCTAGCAAAAGCCCAGGAGTGTTCACATCAAGTGAGATCAATGACACAAGGTAGTGGTCAGATAAAAAGGTATTTTCAGCTTTAACTTCTTCCCTGAAGAAGCTGTTTCTGGTTGCTGAGTGGATGCTGGTTTTGGGCAGAGTGTTGGAGTAGAAAGAAGGGAACTGATTTTCTTGAAAGCGTAGAAGGTAGGATTTTTTCAGAGCCTTCAATCAACAACCGGTACACATTACAGTCGCTGTTCAATGGCTGAATTAGCTCCAGAGTTCCCTCTAGTGGTGTTAATACTCAAGTCACAGTCCCATGTGCCCTGTGATATGGAACCATCCTATTTTCCCTCCTTGGGAAGCTACCAGAATAACGTGATATTCTTCTAACAGTAATTTTAAATTTCCTTGGCTATTTCTAAAGCAAACAAACAGAGCTCTTCCCATGTGCCAGGCACTATTCTAAGAACCTCACAAATACGAACTTGCTTAATTATCATAAGAATCCTGTAAAGTAGGTACTATCGTGATCTCTCTTTTTTACAGATGGGGAAAGTGAGTCACAGAACTTTCCAAAGGTCACACAACTATTCCATATGGTTCTCAGAACAGCATTATGGATTGGCAGGAACAGGGAACACACAAATATTCATGAAACCCAAATTTGGCTAAAATAAATAAATAAAGCACAAGAAGTAAAAGAGAGTAATGTAAGTCCACCAGATAAGGCATCTGGGAACTTGGCTTCAAATTCTCTCTTAGCCACTGACTAGCCGTGTAGGTGAGGTGGCCACAAATTCACTGGGCTGTGAAAGAACTTTAAAAATCTCTATGGCCCATCTTAGCCTTAACTGTGTACGCATTATAATTTAAATCTGTCCCAAGAAACGGATGCTTCTATAGACAACCAAACATAATACCATACTTACACACCGGATACTTACAACAACTCTGGTGTATACTTCTTCAGCAAAGTCGATGCTTTGGAATCTGAGTTCTGTAGGAAACGTGTACTTGGTCAGCCACTCCAAAAGGGGCAAGTCTACATTACTTCCAGCAAAGAAATACTGAGGAGCATGAATGTGTGTATCAACCAGCCCAGGCATGAAGAACTCACTGGAAATTAAGATGGTAGGAAAAGGATTTAATAGCATCAGTCATTTTCCATATCTCTAAATCACATTTTCTCTCAAGAATGATATCATCATTCACCTCACACCAGTTCATAGCTGTCGCAATCAGACAACTGTAAATTCTCCTATTATGTAGAGGCCAGGAAACAAAAATGAAGCTCTTTTAGGAGAGATCCAGTTTCTAAATTGGAAAAGCTGGTGTAGGGTTAACCTATGATGATGAAGGAAGGAAAAAGCAGAGTACTGGTTTTAGGGCAGAGAGGTTTTCAGAACTTCTAGAACCATGCTGAGGAACATACAACAAGTCGCTAAGGGGACCGAAGATGGAAACAGAGTGGCCGCAATTTTAGACTCAGTGGTCATCCTGATCTTGGCTGATTACAAGAAATCTAGTTTTTTTCATGTGATAGAGGCTGAGATCTGAAATAGAAGCGGCAAGAACAAACGGGTGAGGGACAGGTGATCTTCGGAGATGGGAACATAAGGCGGCAGTGGTGTAAATGGTTAAGTGAAGTGGGGGTTGTGATGCCATGACAACCACGCTCACAAACCTCTGACCACTCCTCCTGCTACACTGATCCATCAATTGACATTCATGCTTCTATTCATTCTTATAATGGAAAGTCCTGGGAAAATGTTTTTAAGGGTTTCAGAGCCACTGCCCATAGAATTAAAGTAGTCTGATGCTAACGGACACTTAGAGCTTTACTGAAGAGTTCATCCAGCTCACCAGCCACTATTAAGTGGCCAACCTCATCCAAACAGATGTTTGCCAAAAGATGGTGTGTACTACCACCACCTTCATCCTAAGTAAACATTAAGTCGCATAAGGAACTTGAACTTGAAACATGACATCACAGAGAATCCTTTATATGATCAAATCAAGTACCTATATACCACCTAAATATAAGACAATAAAGCCATAAGTAACTCTAAATGCTGCATTTTAAAAAGTGAGCTAGGAATGACGGTGGTGATGTTAATGGTGATGGTGACAGCAGCGACTGTTTCCTGAATGTGTACATGCACTGAGCATGGGTACAATTCTGCATGTGTCATCTCATTCGTGGGCAGCAGTTCATTGTAAGGGTTAAGTATATACATTCTAGTCTCAGGCGGCTTGGATTTGAGGTCAGTCCTCACCATAAACCAGCAGTTGGATATTTGGTATGTTATTTTTAAAAGTATCTCTGTGGCAGGGCTCGGTGGCTCAGCCTGTAATCCCGCGCCTTTGGGAGGCTGAGGTGAGTGGATTGCCTGAGTCCGCGGGTTCAAGACCCGCCTGGGCAGCGAGACCCATCTCCACAATAAATCAAAACATCAGCCGGGTGTGGTAACACATGCCTGTAATTCCGGTTACTTGAAAGGCTGAGGTGGAAGGATCACCGGAGCCCAGCAGGTCGAGGCTGCGGTGGCCAGGAGCGGCCACTGCACTCCAGTCTGGGTGACAGAGTGAGACTCCAACTGAAAAAAAAAAAAAAGGTATCTCTGTGACTCAGTTTCCTCTTATATAAAATGAATATAGTAGTACTTTCTTAGGGCTGTTGTGAAGCTTGAGTCAGTGTGTGTAAGAATAGAGACTAAGCCAGGCTTGGTGGCTCAGCCTGTAATCCCAGCACTTTGGGAGGCTGAGGTGAGTGGATTGCCTGAGCCCGCGGATTCGAAACCTGCCCGGGCAACTTGGCAAGACCTCATCTCTACAACAAAATCAAAAAATGAGCCGGGCGTGGTAGCATGCACCTGTAGTTCCAGCTACTTGGAAGGCTGAGGCAGAAGGATCGCCGGAGCCCAGCAGGTCGAGGCTGCGGTGACCAGGAGCATGCCACTGCACTTCAGTCTGGGTGACAGAGTGAGACTCCAACTCAAAAAAAAAAAAAAGAATAGAGCCTGGATAATGAAAAGCACCAATAAATATAGTGATGATGATGTGATATAATGCTTACAAGAAACTTATGAAGTATGGGCGTATTGTTACTCTCATTTACATAGGGGTAAGCTAAAGCTCAGGAAGCTTAAGTAGCTTGAAAAAAAATAATCATTAGTCCATTTTGGAGCTAAGATTCAAACCCAGGTAGTTTGTCTCCAGGCTCAGCACTCTTGGTCACTATGTTCCATGTAACAAAATTGTTAATTGACTAACCATGGTAATAAAGAACAGTGACAACTTTTAAGTATGATAAGAAGGTAGTGTTAAGTGGGCCTATAATGTGGGAAGCAAACACAGAGAGGATGAAGCCTGGGTTCCTCTCAAGTATCAGTTACTGACCTCTCCAGAAGAGATTAGTCCTTAAGCTTCTTTTGCTTTCTCCACCACCATAAAATAGAATGGTAGTGTGACTTCTTCAGCAGTTAAGTTGTTCAATCAAATAATATTTCCCAAGTATCTACTTGAATAAAGACTTTATAATCTAGTTGAGGAGATTAGGAGTGAGTAAAGTTGTTTGTGTGTGTGTGTGTGTGTGTGTGTGTGTGTGTGTGTGTGTGTGTGTGTGTGTGAGAGAGAGAGAGAGAGAGAGAGAGAGAGTTGTGACAGAGACAGGGAGAGAGAGATGAGAGACAGAGGGAGAGAGAGATGAGAGACAGAAGGAGAGAGAGAGAGAGAAAGAGCGAGAAAGGAAAGAGGGAGAGGAGGAGGAAGAAAGGGAGAGAAGGAGAGAGTTAGGTCTGGTCAGACTTAAAAAGTCTTAGTGAGCAATTTTACTCTTAGATATTTATCCAAGTGAAACAAAAACTTAAGTTTACAAAAATAATTGTACAAGAATGTTTACACTAGCTTAAATTGGAAACAATCTAAATATCCACCACAAGAAAATATAGATACACAAACTGCTACAATGGAATACTATTCAGTAATAAAGAGTGAACTGATACACACAACAATATGGATCAATCTCAAAAACATGTTCTGTGAAAGAGTCCAGACACAAAAGGGTACATATTGCATTATTCTATTTATATGACATTCAAAACGAGGCAAAAGTAATCCATCTGATAGAAATCAAACAGTGGCTGCCTGTGAGAGGCTGGAGAGAGATTGGAAGGAGCTCAAAGGAAGTTTCTAGAATAAGAATGTTTTATATCTTGATTGATGTGTTGGCTACATGAGTATATATATTTGACAAAACTTATCAAATTATATACCCAAGATCTATGCATTTCAGTACATAGACATTTTTCCAAAAAAAAAAAAATAAACAGCAACAGAAAGGTTTCTTAAAGGGTCTTCAATACTCAATTTAGTGAATTAGCATACATATTATTCTGTAGCCAAGAGGGAGGAGATCATAATATTTGTTTCTTTGTTTTTGTTTGCTTTGGCAGACTGTAACATACGGAGCCTCGGGTTTAGTTTGATGAATCTGGTGGCAGTAGGCACGTGTTGGGAAACTCCTGCAAATTATCTTCCAAATGTGAAGTTTCTAAATAAAGATTGTGGTGAGGAATACAGAAAGGAAAGGGATGACTATGAGAGAAAGAACTTATTATTTCATTAGCCCTAGGAAGCAAAGGAGAAGAATGAGTCAAAAGAGTAAGTTATTGAGCATGCGAGGCAGAACACATGACATAAAGTACCGAGAATCTAGAAAGAGTGTCTCTTTGGGGGAGAAGAGGTTTGTGATGTCCTAATAAGCCTGGTGTTAAAGTGTGACTTCCAAGCATCTAAGAAGTAATTGGGGATGTGGGATACGAAATCACATAAGAGTTAAGAGAGAATTTAGATCTGAGCATCTTCTCAATGCAGATAACCCTCCAAGTTGGTGGTATCAGAGATTTCTGTGGAAGACAGAACAAAACTAAATCTTGAATAACCCCCTCCACTTAAGGTCTAAGACTGAGGAAGAGAAGGTTGTGATCAATCTTGGCAGAGTTGTCAGGAGGATAGAGGGAACCTAGGAGAGAAAGGTGTCCAGAAGAATAACTAAGGGAGGGTTTCAAGAAGAGCAGGGCAGCGACTATGCCAAAAACGGCAAAAAAGCAGGTGTGGCCTCAGTACACTGAGGCCCCAGTGTAATCGTTGGGGGGAAACCCAATTTTGGAAGGATTTTGTCCTTCATTAAAAAGTATTTACTGAGTCTCTAGCATGTTTGAGTTACTATCCTAGGTGCTGAGGAAAGAATGATGAACATGAAAGATGGTGTTAGAGAAAGAATTGGACAGATAGAAAACTCCCTTTAAAAATATTTGGTAGTGAAAGTTAGAATGCAAAAGAGTAAAAGTCACTTTTTGTTTTCCATGTAGGGGAAATCCAAGCGTGTTTGTCAGGTAATAGAGATAAGAGAGTGAATAAGATGATTCAGGGTACAAAGTTCACAGAGGCAATGGAAGAGTAAGGATTTGCTGTATCTGAAGTGTGATTTTTACCCAGAAAAGCTACACATCTTTTTTAGGAAATAGGAAGCATTTCGAAACGTTCACCAATAAAAAGATTCACAGAATTAAGTTTATAGTCCAGATATCAGAACACACAGAAGCATGGAATGTGAGAGTTGCATGCGAGATTAGAGGTTACTGAGCCCACTTACTAATTTTATAGAGAGAACAAAAGAGCCAGGCTCGGTGGCTCAGCTTGTAATCCCGCACTTTGGGAGGCCGAGGTGAGTGAATTTCCAGAGCCCATGGGTTTGAGACCCGCCTAGGCAACTTGGCGAGACCTCACCTCTACAACAAATCAAAAAAATTAGCCAGGTGTGGAAGTGTGCACCTGTAGTTCCAGCTACTTGGAAGGCTGAGGCGGAAGGATCGCCGGAGCCCAGCAGGTTGAGTCTGCAGTGGCCGGGAGCAGCCACTGCACTCCAGTCTGAGCAACAGAGTGAGACGCCAACTCAAAACAAAAGCAAAGAAAAAAAGTAAAGAACAAAAAGAAGCTCAGTGAAGGCAAGCTCATTTTGAGGCTTGCAATTTGTTGGTGGCCCTGCCAGGATTCATACTCAGTTCTGTACTTACAACATCACTTACAAATGACAGTTATTAAGAGCCTAGCTGCAGGTAAAGCAGAGGAGAGGTCTAGAGGCTACAGCAGCAGAAGGTGAAAAAGCTCTCTCTCCTTTCTGCCTCTGCTTTTCAGGATTCCTCTTCCAGCTTTACTTAAGCAGCATAATAGTTCCCTTAGAAAATCTCAACTTTCAGTGGAATATTATGCAGCCATAAAGAAGGACAAACATATGGACTTCACAGCAACTTAGATGAATTTTAGAATCTATCATACTCAGTGATCTACCACAGAAACAAGGAACAGAGTACCACATGTTCTCACTAAGCGGACCCTGAACATTTACCATAATACCATAAGAAAGGAATTGGCAGTAGAGGGATACTGCCAGGGTTAGGGTGGGGGGACACCACAACAATAAGGGTACCTAATCTCAAACCAGGCAAAGTGGGGACCAAAGGGAGGCTCAAATTTTACCTGTTCAATGACCACTTGTATACCTAGTCCTGAATTGTACTACACATCTTTAAAATAAATAATAAAATATTTCAGACTAGAAAAAAATGAAACATGACAAGTCTTTAAGAGCTAAGTGAAATGGATTTTGTAATATGTGGTCATACTTTGGATGGCTTCTCAGGAATTCAAGTCTTTTATGCATCTAAGGATATAAAAAAGCAAAAAAAAAAAGGAAAGGAAAGAAAATCTCAACTTCTTCCAGATATTTTAAACCTGCATTGTTGGCCAAACCTTATCATAACCAGAGAAAGAGAACAACATACACCTTGTATACACCTATCAGAACTCCCACACATCTTTTAACCAAGTGGAAAACATTAATAAAGTTCTCTAATCAAAACACGTGACTAGATATAAAGGCTTGCATCGCCCAATCTGTTTACATACCATCTTCACCCTCATCGACCTGCCCCAAGGACCTGGGAACCCCAGACTACTTTAAGAAGACTGTTCTACTGCACAAAAAATACAAGGTTGTAAAACAAACATGCAACAACACCCTGTCTTTATTTATTTATTTATTTATTTTTGAGTTGGAGTCTCACTCGGTCGCCCAGACTGGAGTGCAGTGGCCGCTCCCGGCCATCGCAGCCCCGACCTGCTGGGCTCTGGCGATCCTTCCGCCTCAGCCTTCCGAGTAGCCAGAATTACAGGTGCGCGCTACCACGCCCGGCTAATTTTTTGGTTTTATTGTAGAGATGAGGTCTCGCTGCCCAGGCAGGTCTCGAACCCGCGGGCTCAGACCATCCGCTCACCTCAGCCTCCCAAAGGCGCGGGATTACAGGCTGAGCCACCGAGCCCAGCTCACCCTGTCTTTATTTAAAATTTTTATAATCCGTTCACCATAGATTTTTGCCTTAATTTTTACATGTTTAAATATTGCAATAAGGTATTGTTTATCTTAATTATTGAGATTTTTTTGTCCTCCCCACTGCCTTTAAATCTCGTACTTGAGGTGAATGCTCACTCTAATCCTGGCCCTGCGAACCTGTCTGCAGCCCATGGTCACAACCTGATCCACTCTCACCACAGCACTGTCATGGTACTCCAGTTGTAATTTTCCTTTTCAAAAAATCTGCGTCGTGCTGAGATAGACCTGTAGATACATTGGGTATTGGGCCAAGTCTGTTAAAAAGACTGGTAGAGAAATCATCTTCTATGGTATTTAAATCATGACAATTTCAACAGCACATAACTTGTGTACTTGATATAAGAATTACTTTGCATTTCAAATATGATTTTTCCTCAGAGGTTTCAGTCTTTCACCAAACTTTATTCATCCCCTTACTACTTCTCTGTATGTGCTTCCAGGGCCCCAGAATCTGCATTTTTGATGGATTTACCTCTAAAAGCAGTCTCATAAAGTGAGACAAAAAGATGTGGAAACCCACAGATAGGTTCACCCCTCTCACCATCCTCCAATCACTTCCCTTTCTCTCATATTCTCCCAAAGTCCACTTCATCTGCTTCCAAGCTTCCTTCTAATCCTCCATCCCCAAACACACGAACAGGTGACCATAAGTGTCAATTGCTCCTCATCACAGACTCTTATGGAAATCTAGCAAGAGGAAGTAGAAGGTTATGGCAGAAGCTACTGCATTAATTTCCATCTCAAATGCCCACATGCCTATGGAGAGGCAGCAGGGTGACCAGAGATGAGTTTATAACTGAGAAGAGCTTGAAGAAGGAAAGTTGCTTGTTTTGCATTTAACAACTGCAAAGCTACAGCATGAGAATTCAAACCAGATGTTTTCATTCCTAGTTCAATGTTCCTCTTACTATATTACCCAAGAGTCAGTTCTCAAGTTAGGGAAGTGTTTTCGGAATGAAAATTGACCTTTGAAAGAACTTGGCATGAAACAAGATAAAATATTTGAGTTTAAAAAAAAAAAACTATTTCTGTTTTTAAAAAACAAGTCAACCAGGCTATGAAGACAGTGGGCCAATCACAGGAAACACATTTTATATATGTATGAAAAACCATTGAAGGGAGTTGAAATATACAATCACAGCTCAAATGCACTTCTAGACATAGATCTTCCCTAGCCAAGCTATCAGAGCACTTGATTCTCAAATTCTCTTCCCTCCCTAGTTCCCAACAACTTATCTCTATTATACCTCTCCTCCCACCCCTGTTTTCTACAATCTAATCACCGTCGTGTTTATGATTCAGTTTGCTTGTTCACTGTCTGCAAACCCATGGGCTGTACACCCTGTAATGACAAGGACCTTGAAGAACTTTTTTCACCTCCAGACCCTTGTACTGCACATAGTAGACTCAACAAGTATTGGCTGAAGAAATAAATGAATGGTGACAGCCTCTAGTTCTCATCTACTTTCTCCTTCTCACCTTCTCCCTTAAAAATAATTAATTAATTTCAAAATCAATTAATTAAAAAATTATCTCTCTCCCAAGGCAGGTTTTCTATCACTTGAGCCTATGACAGGCATGCAGCAAAAGAGAAAGGTTGACGATGACTTACTGATGGCTCAGCTCTCTTACTTCACATGGCTTGAAGCACCATTCTTTGGCCAGTTTTTCTTGTTGAGATGCTTCTTCTAAAAACACTATCTTTAAAAGAAAGAAAGAAAAAAAAGGAATCACATATTAATGAATCATAGTCATTTGTTTTTTTAAAATATATAAATCTTTTAAAAAGAGATGATACTGTAGCTGAGTTAAAGATATTTGACACCAAATGGGATTGAGTTTAGAAGCCAAAAAAGCCAAGAGTTTGTTTTTGGTCATCCAAAGAAGTAAACCGTGTATAATTTTTCCTTTTCTTCTACAGTGTAGATACAAGCGAGACTTCAAAATGTTTCATTTGAAGATACAAGGTATTACAAATCGCTGGTTGGGCCAGGCACAGTGGTTCACACCTGTAAGCCCAGCACTTTGGGAGTCTAAGGTGGGAGGATTGCTTGAGTCCAGGAGTTCAAGACCAGCCCAGACAACATAACAAGACCTCGTCTCTACAAAAAAATCAAAAAGTTAGCTGGGCGTGGTGTTGCATGACTGTAGTCCCAGCTATTTGAGAGGCTGAAGTGGGAGGATCACCTGAGCCCAGGAGGTCAAGACTGTGGCGAGTCATGAACGTGTCACTACACTCCAGTCTGGGTGACAGAATGAGATCCTGACTCCGGAAAAAAAAAAAAAAAAAAGCTAACTGGCATCTATTTCTCCCATATCCTTGGAAATGACTAAGGGAAATAACTGTTTATAGAAAATATACATTATCTCACATGAATTATAGATTTTTGTTAGGCTGCTATGAGAAACCCAGGTCTGGAGTGCAATAGTAATATCATGTGGCAATTTATTAACACTAAATAAAATTACACATAATAATTGCCTAAGAATAAGTCTTAGTATGAACTCTGTTGCTGTTCTGACACTAGGCATCTGCTATAAAGAGGTTCACTATATTATTCTAGCACCCCGTGTAAGAGACACTACAATGAAGTAGGTAGACGAGTGACCTCTCAAGTTAGACTTGCGAAGTCTGAAGTCCATGGGCAAGCGCTAAGAACTGTGGACGAGTCTCTTTTTTTATTTTTTTATTTTTTGAGTTGGAGTCTCACTCTGTTGTCTAGGCTGGAGTGCCATGGCACACTCACAGCCACCCCAGGTCAACCTGCTGGGCTCTGGCGATGCTTCTGCCTTAGTCTTCCAAGTAGCCGGAACTACAGGCACGTAATACCACACCCAGCAATTTTTTTTTCTCATTTATTGTAGAGAGAGGTCTCGCCAAGTTGCCCAGACTGGTCTCAAACCCATGGGCTGAGGCAATCCACTTGCCTCGGCCTCTCAAAGTACTGGGATTACAGGCTGAGCCACAGAGCCTGACCGGATGAGTCTCTTAACAGCTTTGAGACACATGGTCTCTCTGGGATGGCCTCTTAATCTTTCTTGGTCTGGTTTCCCCATCTGCAAACGGGGGTAATACCAGTACATATTTCACAGAGCTACTATAAGAAATGAATATAATTCTGGTGAAGAAGTAAGTATATCTCAGGAACATGTAAAATACTAGATAAATTATATCTATTTTTGACTCTTTTAGAAGTATGTATAGTGTGATTGCTTTCTGTATAAAAAATGGATTGCAAAGCAAGAAAGGACAAGAAAGAAAGAAATGCATATGTAGGAAATATCCTGTTTTATTTTTAAATGCAATATTAGGAGGAAAAATACTTAATGGAATATAAAATATCAAAAAAAACCTGGTAGATAAAATGTATCTAATTAATTAGAAGCAAGCCAATCCATTTCAGGAAAAAAATATTGACTTTTTAATTCATTGATATACTTTTTTTAAATTGGGATTTTGACGAGAAGAAAAAATGAAAGTGGCATTCCTACAATTAAGGAAAAGTAATTGGAGCATTCTAAAAATACATTAGAGTTAACAAACATTAGAAAAGAAGAATCAATAAACATCAAAGCAGAGACATAATTCATCAAAAGCCATAAAAATAGAATTTACCAATACACCTCAAAGCTGATTTACTGTTAATTTCATAAATAAATACATAAATAAATAAAGATATTTGTAAAGTACTATATGAACACATTTGAAATATATTTGAAATAAGTGGGTTTTGAGGAAAACACAAATGATCAAAATTTATTTTGGATAGAAATGAGCCAGTAACTATAGAAGAAAGTAAGAAGTTTCCTAATCCTTTAGGAGACCTCATGGCCTGGAACAGTGCTGTCTACTAGAAACAATGCCCATCACAAATAAAAGCCTAAATGTAATTTTCAATGTTCTAATAGCAGCACTAAAAGTATAAAAGCGAATAGCTAGAATTAATTCTAATAATATGTTTTAACACAACATATACAAATGATTATCATTTCAACAGAAAATCAATATAAAAATAATTTTAAATATTTTTCTTTGTTTTAGAATACAATGTATTTTCGTGGGGTTTTTTATTTTAAAGATGTGGGGTACAATTCAGGATTAGGTACTTAAGCGGCCATCGTACAGGTAAAGTTTGGATCTCCCTTTGGTAACCACTTTGCCTAGTTTGGGATCAGGTACCCTTATTGATGTTATGTGCCCCCACCCCCCAGCAGTTTCCCGCTACTGCCAATCCCTTTCTTATAGTATTATGGTAAATGTTCAGGGTCCCCTTATGAGTGAGAACATGTGGTACTCAGTTATTTGTTTCTGTGATAGATCACTGAGTATTAAGGACTCTAAATCCATCCAAATTGCTGCCAAGTCCATAATTTTGTCCTTCTTTATGGCTGCATAATATTCCATCATGTATATGTACCACATTTTTTTATCCACTCCACTTTCTAAGGGCAGCACAGTTGGTTCCATATCTTTGCTATTATGAATAATACTGCAGTAAACATGCGTGTGCAGGTATCTTTTTTATAGAATAATTTGATTTCCTCCAGGTATATTCACAGAAGGGGGATTACTGGGTTGTATGGAAGGTTGATTTTTAAATCTTTTAGGAATCGTCACAGATTTCCACAGAGGTTGTACTAGTTTACATTTCCACCAACAGTGTAGAAGTGCTCCCTTTTCGCTGCATCCTTTCCAACACTTGGTGTTTTTTGAATTATTGATGATGGCCATCCTGACTGGAGTCAGGTGGTATCTCAGTGTGGTTTTGGTTTGCATTTCTTTGATGATTAGTGAGGCTGAGCATTTTTTTCATGTATCTGTTGGATGCTTGTATGTCTTCTTTTGAAAAGTGTCTATATCTTTTGTTCACTTTTTAATGGGGTTGTTTGTTTTTTTCCTTTTGGCATGTTTGAGTTCCTTGTAAATCCTTGATGTTAGGCCTTTGTCAGATAAATAGTTGGCAAATATTTTTTCCCATTCTGTGGGCTGTCTCTCCACTCTCTAGATGGTTTCTTTTGCTTTGCAGAAGCATTTCAGTTTGTTGAGGTCCCACTTGTCTATCTTATTCCTTTTTTTTTTTTAGAAAGCAGGATTTATTGAGAGGACAGAAACACTTCCACAGTAGGAGGGGACCCAAAGGGGTTGCCCTATCTTATCTCTTATGGCATTGGCTTTTAGGGTTTTGATCAGGAACTGGTTGCCTAATCCAATTTCCATAAGGGCGTCTCCTGTGTTTTCTAAGATTCTTATAATTTGAGGTTTTACATTTAGGTCTTTGATCCATTTAGAGTTGGTTTTTGTGTATGATGATAGGTAGGGGTCCTGTTTCAATCTTCTGCATGTGATCAGCCAGTTTTCCCAGCAACATTTACTGAAGAGATTCTCCTCTCCCCAGTGGTTGTTGTTGGAGACTTTGTCAAAGATGAGTTGGTTGAAAAATTGAGACTTTCCTTCCGGAATCTCTATCCTGTTCCATTGTTCTATATGCCTGTTCATGCACCAATACCAGAGTGTTTTGATTATTGTAGTCTTACAGTAAAGTTTAAAGTCGGGGAATGTAATACCTCTGGCTTTGTGTCTTTTGCTGAGGATTGTTTTGGCTATTTGTGGTCATTTATACTTCCATGTGAATTTCTGTATTGTCGTTTTCCAGTCTGAGAAGAATGATGTTGGTAATTTAATGGGTGTTACATTGTATTAAATACATTTCAATCCAGCTGCTAAATTTTCACCTAAAATATTCTATCTTTATATTTAGAATGTATGTAATTTATAAAAAGTAGACTTACATACTCAGTTTGTTTTAAGCACACTTAAAATTTTTCCCAAACTAAACTGAATATTAATTTTTACCTGTAAATTTAATTTAATGAAAATGAAATCTAAAATAAAATTTAAAAATTCAGATCTCAGTCACACTAACCACATTTCAGTTGCTTAATATGCATACACAGTTAGTGACTGTCATATTGGATGGCTCAAGTTCAGAGAATTTCATAGCAAAGACATAAAATTTTGTGCTAGAGTACATAAAACACTCCAGAATATGGAGAAAAATTGAACCCTCTCTGTTTCTAGCATTATCCTCCTACTAAACTTCAAAAAGCACACACACATACACAAATACAGATATACAAAAGGAGAAAATGACAAGCCAATGCCATTTGTTATTTAATAAAATAGATGCCAAAGATAATCTCAATGATATGCTGGCAATAAAAAACAAATATGTATTAAAATAACAATTCAGCATGTCCGCAGCACGTAAGTCTTTATTAATCTGACCAAGTGAGACACATCTATCAACTTATACCAGATGTTTAGTAGTTAGGCAAGGGCTCAATTTCTCAAAGACAGCTGGAATTAAACCATCTATCTTCCTTTCTGTTTTTGTCAGTCAACACCCAAACTAGGATTCACTAGCTCTTCACAAACACATCAGAGATTTTGGCTTGCACCATGATCTTCATAAAACTCTCTGTAATCTCACCCTTGAAAGCCTCATACATCCTCGCCCCCAAATAACTCCCTGCCATTTCCCACTTTTCAAAACCCTTCACTGTGACCTCTTACTACTGCCTCTTCATAAGCAGCAAACTCCCCTTTGTCTTCAGTATCGCCTGAGTTCCTCCCTCTTTTTTTGTGGTTTTGTTTGTTTGTTTACTTGCTTGCTTATTTCGTTTTGTTTCTGAGTAGATGT